AAAAACACACTGATTTGCTTTAATTGAAAGGAAGCTCTTTGGTTCTTAACGAAGAAAAAAAAAGGAGACAAGAAAGAAAAGCTAACAGAATCATTACACTTGACAGTAAAAATAGCAAGAAGGGCGAATTATAACATTGATCTCACAAAACTTCGCGTAAACAAAATCACCGGCCGCCAAAACCACAAAGCGGCTCTAAATGAAAAACCGACCGACTCTCCCCAATGATTCTTCATTCGCAGTTCAATTTAGCATTTCAGTTTCGAAGACAAGGGCAATTGTGCTGTTTAAGATAAAGATTAAGCTTATCGAAATGTTTGAACTAAACGAAAGAATGCCAGGGATGCGATCCGAAAAATATCAAGCCACAATCCCGCTAAAATTGTTCATAATTATACATAATTATGTGAATGTTTAGACAATCAACCAATCAAAATCACTACCCGCTTTCGGGTAGTGAGTGACGTCACTGGACGGCATTAACGGCTGGTCGATTCAGACGTTGTTGAGAGGAGAAAACGACTCGAAGCAGTCGGATGAATTTCAGGCTAACATACCTGTTGCAGAGTGCTTAGCGGGCTGCATGCAAGCCCTGAAATATCTAATTTATTCTGTCAAGGCATCATCATAATGAGATAAAGATTACACAACACAAAACATAACTGTTGGCTCTTTCCTTTGCGAAAAGATAAAACTATGTAAAGGCAGTCTTCTCTATCCATCAAAGGTAAGTCAATGAAAAGCTTTAAAATATGGTTTTCACTTGTGTGTTTGGCATCTACAACATTTGACTGCCCATTAACACCTTCCAAAATGCGTTGCTTCCGGTAGCAGTCCAACTTTTAACTCCCAGATGCAACTCAACTGTGCCACATGAAATTGAAAACTCCATGCAAGAACATCCTTACGAAAATCTGGTCATTTTGGAAAGTGCTCCAAAGCTACACTGTCATTACACAATCATACCATTTGGTTTCTCCTATAATACAAAAACACTGTCGCAAACATTTCTGCCTTAGACGGATCCCCCTCTCCCCAAGGTTAAAAAAAAACGACCCCTCTTCCTCCGACACAATCATGTTGTTCTTTATTGATTAAGGTCAAATGCAATGATATTGGATAGTTTATTTGTTGGGAATATCATTTGGCAAGATGTTCATGATCACACAAGGTCTTTACCTTACATTAGGCTTAACTTCAAAGTTAAGGTATGCTTACTCTACAACATTGTACAAGGGGGAGTGGAGGGGGGAGAGCAGCAAGTCTTTGACCAGGATAGTGTAAAGTAGATGTTTTTTCCATATGTGATTTCTGCCAAATTAAGTGGAAACCGTAACGAAAATGTTAGAAAATGTTTCTTCACCCAAAAAGGCAAGTAAGTTTAGCGTGCGTTTGGATGTTCTTGCATGGGGCTCTTCAGTTGTCCTGCTAGAAATATCTGTCATCCTTGCATACATGTATATTAGTTTACAATGAAAGAAACGCGAAGGATACTTGTCAATCATCCCAGGCACGTTGAGCCTGTCTATCACAGAGGATTCCAGCTTTATTTCCAGAATCTGAAACATAGATGCTAAGAATGAATACACGTTTGGACAATGGAGCAAGCTCTTGTTTGCACACAGATCCACACCACATTCAAGCCACTGGGAGGAAACTTGTCAACAGCTGTTCAGAGAAACCTATTGACGAAAATTCCTGATCTGACTTATGACCATAATTATGTGGTAGAAAAATGCAGCCAAGGAACCGGAAATTTTGATGGTCAAAAGAAACAAACACAACGCAATGTGTCACAATGTTAACGTGGCATCAATGTTACTCCCGATATTGCGCGGTTGTTTGAGAAGGTTGTGTATCGTACGCAAGCACAGTCAGTCATTGAGAACAATCTGAGCCACACCCAATTTGCATATAGACAGGCGGGTAATTGCACAAATGCTTTGCTCGCTATCCAGCACCAGATATACAAATATTTAGACAGTAGTGACGGAAACGCAGTACGAATTTGGACTTCAGTAAGGCCTTTGATTTTGTGAACCATACTATTTTGTCTGCCAAACTGAAACAGCTACCCCTAATTCCGTACATTATCAATTGGTATCAGAGTTTCCTCTATGCAAGACAACAACGTGTTGTTTGCTATAATTTTTTAGGACACTGGAAATCTGTCAATAGAGGAACCACACAGGTAGGTAGTGTAAGCGGACCGTATCTTTTTAATATATTTTTGAATGACTTGGAGATTTTCTTTAATGGTTGCCCTGTTCTTTTTAAATATGCCGATGATTCCACCATTCTTTCGCCTATCACCAGGAACCGCGACCCGTCTGCCGACTTAGTAGGACAGTTCTTAACCTGGTGTAAAGACAATAAAATGGTCTGCAACCCTTGTAAATGTAAAGAGCTGGTTGTTAGAAAGAAAAATCACAATGTACTCTACTCTCCAATTAACAATATTCCTCAATGTAATAGCTTCGTTTTACTAGGAGTAACTCTACAGAGTGACGTGAAATTTAATGAGCATGTAAGAACCAAGCTTGTCAAAGCAAACAAGTGTTTACACGTCCTACGAACACAAAGAAAAGAACACTACTCTCAGGCAGAGATAGATCACCTTTTTATATCTATTATTTTACCTAATTTTAGCTATGCGCTTTCAGTCTATGAGTCTGATCTTACGGTTATTCAAAATTTTTTAGACCGTAAACGCCGTTTTATTTCATTTCCAGTTTTTATCAAGAACCTTTTAAATAAACAAGACCGAAACATTTTAAAGAAATTAATTTCAACGGATTGCCACCCCCTGAAAGATATCATTCCTGTCCAGAAGACTTATGTACATGATCTTAGGAAAAAAGGCTGCACACGCCCGAAAATTAATACACAGCGTTTTATGAACACCTTTGTAAATAGGTTGATTTTTAAGCTCCATTTATTGTAATGACATACTTTTTTAATATATATATATGTAGACCTTTAGGTGAACTACTCAAATCCTGAGTACATGGGTGTTTAATACAAGCCTGTATATATGTAGATATTTTTCTCATAGTTTTTTATCTTCCGTATTATTGTAACATAAGATATGTAGTTTTATCTTTTGATGAAATAAAGACTCATTATTATTATTGTTATTATTAATGAGAGAGATTAACAAGCAGTTAGCTTCTGACGAAAAAAAATATGGCAACCACATTTGAGCCCAAATGCAGTACAAAGTTAATGAGAAAAGACTTGATAAGCTGAACAGGGCCACATCACGAGCAGAATGAAGCAAGGCCCTCGAGGAAAGTAAGAGAATCGTCAAGGAAAAATATAGCATACAATGTTTGAAGTAGAGAGATGTAGCTGGAAGGCTTTGAGTGTATACAAAATGCAGCGAGCCATCGAGGCAAAATTGCAAGGCATGCGAGGCACTACCGAAACGTGCAAGGCATGAACAAAACATGTGATCAAGCCATAACAGAACCCAATATCACTCTTATGGAAAAACATTTTAAAGCTGTGTTCTCCCTGTGCGTGACGAGTCTAGATCAAATAGAGAGGCAAAATTCGCGCATTTGATAATAGCTGTTCAGATTACTAAACGTTATATACTTTTACATTATTATTACTCCACTATAAAATTCACCCCTAAGAAGTCAGAAATAGAGGTCACTTTCTTGGACACAATTGTGTACAAAGGTGATAGTAATGAATCCATCCTAGACGAGTAAACGCATTACGACTCAGAGACTTTTCAATACATGAGCTCGTGTCCCTATTCGTGTCATCCCCGGGTTCATTAATGGAGAAGCACTCAGACTTATGATATGAAAAATGTTATTTTAAAATCCTGTTGCATGACTTTATTGTTAGTTTTTCTCAAAACCTTCCTGCTTTAACAAATTAGTCTCATGTGTCGGGATGTTTCGCGAGTGTGCAAACAGTCAAAAGACCCTCGATTTTGTGACTGATGCACTTCAATAGGCACTATCCCATAAAGAGGTGTTCTTTTCAACAAGAAAGGAAAAAGAGAGGAATCCAAAAATTGCAGACCAATTTCTCTAACCTGTATCTCTTGCAAAATCCTAGAAAACATTGTGCATCAATTGTCATATTATGGACTTTTTCGGGTCTAATAACATCCTGGTGGACAACCAACCTGGTTTTCGCCAAAAGCACTCCACTGAGACTCAACTGTTATCAACCATACATATTTCTTCTACACTTAATGAGAAGAAGGCATCACATCTAGTGATTCTTGATTTTACAAAGGCCTTTGACAATGTGCCACACGAAAGGCTCCTAATCAAGTTACACCATTATGGAATAACTGGCCCTTTGAATAACTGGCTAAGAAGCTTCTTAACACACAGAACTCAACAAACTGTTTGTGTTGGTGTTTCATCTCCACCCCAGCAAGTAATTTCAGGTGTTCCTCAAGAAAAGGTCCTAGGACCCCTTTTGTTTTTACTTTATGTTAATGATTTATCGTTTGGCCTTGAATGTCAAACCAGACTACAATTGCTGATGACTGCCTTAATCATATATCCATTACCCCTGCTGCATATATGGACAAACTTCAATCTGACCTAAAGAAACCAGAACTACGGCAGAACACCTGGTAGAAGGAATTCAACCCTGAGAAATGTTTTATTATGTATATCCAAACAGAGGAATCCACCTTTTGGAGAATATACTTTCTGCAACACTACCTTAGCGTATATTGAAAAGCACCCCTGTAAGGGAGTCACCCTGGAAGCAAATCTGAGATGGAATCACCATCTTCATGAATTATCCTCTAAAGCTACCAAGACCTTTAATCTGAGCAAAAGAAACTTTTGGTTTTGCGATGAGGATACCAAATGTCTCCAGTATAAGACTCTTGTTCGACCCAAATTGGAGTATGCATCAGTAGTCTGGGACCCACACTATCTATGTGATGTAAATGACCTGGAAAATATTCAAAGGGCAGCTGCTCGTTTTTGTAAAGGGGATTATAAATATTCTTCAAGTGTAACTTCTATGATAAAAGATTTGGACTGGGAACCCCTGGCCTCTCGCCACAAACAAGCTCGCTTATGCACAATGTACAAAAATTTCAAATCACATCATTCATGTTAATTAGTCTAAGTACTTGACTCCAGCAACAGAAACTCGGACTCATGGATCGCCTGGTTTTAAATATTTTTTTGAACATACAAGTAGAACAGTGAGGGAATGGAAAAGCCTCCCTTCTGACATTGTATCTGCCAAATCTTTAGACATTATTAAGAACATGTTAAGTGGTTACTTACGAGGAGATTAGTAGGAGGTGACCCGCATCCAGTATTTATTTATTTTTATTTTTTATTATTTCTATTTTTTTACCAAATTTTAAATCTTTCTCTTCTTAATTTAATGTTAGCGTGATAACTGAACATAGTTTCTGTTGAACAATAAATTTAGATGTAGACTGATCTAGATCTGATCTTAGACTGATCTTTGATTTCAAATACATGAACAAATTTTTTTTTAAGTTTAAATAATAAGGATATTTGCAAGCCAAGGGACATAAAACTGTCATCATGAACATGGAAACCATCCTCAAGGTTAGAAGTCCAAAGCCTAAACTTCATTCAAAAGCCAATGCTATTTACAAAATCTGTCTCTGGATCTCGTAAATCCTGACAATGTCATGCTATTGGCTGCCTGTTATGTTGGCTTCTTTGGCGTCCTCACAGGTGGCGAATTTACAGTCAATAGCCCATTTGATCCTTCTCTGCATTTGAGTCTTGCTAACATACAGGTTGATGCCCACTTGAACCCTCAAAGAGTTGGCGTGTTTATCAAGTGCTCCAAGACAGACTGTGAGTCCCTTTGCTTGCTTCATCTTCCTTGGTCATGGTTCCGCCCTCTATTTGCTGTGGTTTCCTTGGGAAATTACCTGCACCTTCGTGGACTGAAACCCAGACCTCTATTTCCTTACTAGGATGGTACTCCTCTTTTTAGATCCAAGCTCTCTGCATTCTTAAAATCTACTCTAAAGTCAGCAGGTGTTCCCAGAAATTTCTCTGGTCACATCTTTAGAAGTGGAGCCGCTACTACTACTGCCAGCCAAGGAATTCCCGACCATCTTATTAAAACTATGGGTCGCTGGTCAAGCGAAGTTTATTCACTGTATGTGTGGACTGCAGAAGACACGATTCTCTCAGTAGCTGGACGACTCGCTTAGCAGGTAAGGCGCTTATCTACCCCTTTGTGTAACTTGGTTGGGTGCTGTCAGATTTTTGCTTGGGCTCAGGCTTTCCCCCAGCCATGAGCCCTTTGTTCTCAAGGCATTTTAAGTTTGGCCCAGAGGTCCTCCGGCTTGGTGTGGGGGCTCATTGCTGGGTTGCCAGGATTTCCCAGCCATGGGAGTGGTCTCCATCTAGGAGCTGGCTGCCAGTAGTGGAAGCTCCTGGGCATCACAGGCACCCAACCTCCACTTTGCAAAGCAGTTGTTAAATGCAGTTAAATGCAATTTAATGGAGTTAACAAGGAGTACTTGTTTCACTTTGCTGGCCAGCGGTGTGTGCGAGATGCGCATGACCCAAGATCCATCATGCTCTGGGACCAGTGTGCATCCCAGCATGGTCTCGTTCATTAGTGTTCCGCCATTTTGGGGTGTTCAGCAACTTTTAGTGTGATTTATTCAGCATGGGCGTATCACAAATGTGGGGACTCAGTTTATGTGGTTTCATCTTCCACCCCTTCCCTCCTCTTTTCCACTGATGTTCTCAGCGTAACTGATGCCCGCTTTCTTGCCGCGTGGGGGCTCATGGCTAGGTTGCCAGGATTTCCCAGCCATGGGAGCAGTCTCCATCTAGGATCTGGCTGCCAATAGTGGAAACTCCTGGGTATCACAGGCACCCAACCTCCACTTAGCAATGCAGTTGTTTTAGAACCAGCAAGCAAAAGTGGCAGCTCCATAAATATTTCTTATCCTTGGCCGATGGTTATTACCTATGACAAAGGCGACCCAAATATCCGCCAAAGACTGTGACTGTAAAAGCCTAAGAATGACATCAACAAAAATAACAATGTCTCTTGTTTGTGTCCTCAAGGATATGCAACACAGCTTTCACTAATTCGTGGGCACAATCTCCAGTGCAAGCCTCCCAGCATGGCTACATACTCTCCTTTCCCAAGAGTGGATAGAAATACCATATGACCAGATTTGCCAGGAAACGTTGACTTATCCAATGTAATGACTGGATTCTGTACTGAGAAGGAAATTTACCTCTCGTCTTACCAGGTGCAAATGTAGTAAATTTCTCATAGAGTAGGGAAAGCATAGCACACTATATAAGCCGGGGTATAGGCAGTTGCTGAGAGGCACAATACACTGTTAATGCCGTAGCATCTCCTATCTGTCCTGCTTTTTTCAAAGTCGTGTGGAGCTTTCAAAACAATTTATTTTCCTCTCCTTTCAGAACTTTATCCAGGCATACATGTACCTTTGCCTGATTGATCTCTGGGACAGCAGTGGTAGACTTAAACATAGCTAAAGCCGGAACAGTGGTTTAGGTTTCAAGGAGAAAACGCTTTCCACTTCCGAAGGGAAAAACCCTAATTTGCAGTCTACAAACACTTTCCCAACTTTATTGGAGTTGGAAATTAGAAATGACGTGTCAGTACAATGGAAAGATCTTTGTGATGTAGTTGTACTGGTATAATTGTCCAGGTGGTCTAATAAAGCTCAAATGGTAAACAAACCTCTATGCAGACAGGCAGGAGATATGACTCCCTTCTTGATCATCAAAATATTCGCATGCTGATTTGTCAATCCACTCATCAAGCTCTAAGACATAGTCGTAGGAAATGCAGATTCCCAGCTGGTGTAACTGATGAATTAGATGCTTTTTTTCTGGTAAGCCCATGAATGTTCAAGCCAATATCAACAGTGAATGGTGGGTCATGCTCTAAAGTATGTCTTGGTTTTGTCTCAGGATAAAACATTGTGCTCTTCTTAGTGCTGAAACTATGGCCTCACCAATAGGGAAATGAGGATCTTGAGACTCAATGGAAATTATTTCTCTTGACATTTATGTGGAAAAGATCCATTTAAGAGAGAACCTTCATGCCTAAAAGCGCTTTTTCTTTCTTTTCCCTGGCCAAAATTAGTGCATCTTCCAAAACGTCCTAGGCCCCCTCTTGTTCACTTTGTTCATAAATGATCTGCCGGACGAAGCTACTTACGGCGTGAAGGTTGCACTCTACGCCGACGACACCAAGCTATACTGAAATGTCTCGTCTGCAGAACACTGTGACCTCATACAAGTCACTCTCTCTAATATGCACGTCTGGTCGCAGCGCAATAATATTAGATTTAATATGTCTAAATGTAAAGTACTAACTGTGACTAGGAAAAGGACTTCGATTGCTTTTGACTACAGCCTTGATGGCAGAGCCCTGACACGCGTTTCAGAAGAAAAAGATCTTGGCGTCATCATAACTAGTACGCTCTCTTGGGACTCACACATCCACACTATCACTGCGAAAGCAAACAAGCTTCTTGGTTTGCTTTAACGGACTTGTCCCCTGCTTTCTGGTGTCTCTGTTAGGCGCTCACTCTATTTGTCTTTGGTCAAGTCAAAGCTGTGTTACGCCACCCAAGTCTGGTCGCCCGCTTACGTTACTCTGAATGCTAAGGTGGAGCAGGTGCAGAGACGTGCAAGCAGGTGGATTTTACGCACGCACAAAGACGAGTCGTCGTACAAAGAGCAGCTGATTTTGCTAGACTTACTTCCACTTTCTCTAGATCGTGAACTCAAAGATTTGATCTTTTTTTATAAATGCCTTTACTGTAGTACCGATTTAGATGTTCGGAATTATGTATCTTTTGTTTCCCATGATCGTACAAGACTAAGTAACTCCTTTAATCTTCGCACCCCTTTTTGCAAAACATCATCCTTTCAGGCCTCTTACTTTAATCATATTGTTAAACTATGGAACTATGTTTGTAAGCTAGCACCCCCAACCAGTTTTTCCTCGCCTACTGCCTTTCAACTTTTTGTTCGCAAATTAATGAGCACTCACCTTTCCCGCGTATATGAAAATCAATTACCCCTGCACGTGGACACTAGTCCCTACGTGCCCATGCCACTCGTAATTTATTTTATTTTTTGTATTGATGTTCGTGTACACATTTTATTTTTTTTTAACCTAGGTCTTAATCTAGGGGCGGTGCCTCGCATGGGATGTTAGTCCCGTTGCACCTACCCCTTTTCTTTACAGTCTTTTGAACAATGTTCTACGTCCCTTCCTTGAAACCCCAAAAGAGTGCTTCTGCCGTCTGCACTGGTACAAAGTTTATTATAAACTTACTGAGTGAAAGAGTACTGCATTCAGCCCCATCATAGAAGTACATAACTTGTGTTGCAGACGCTATTTAACCCCAGAAGTTTAGTTTCATCTGTGGTGCATGCTAAAAAGCACCACAACAACATAAGAACTGAAGCAGTGCTCATTTGTTTTGAGGAAATTAGTCAGTGACAAATTGCATGCATAAATTCACTTGGATCCGCAGAATAAAATGTTTAAAAGTAATAAAGGAAAATTCTGGTGATTTTGGAGCTCGTATCCGTTGTGTAAGGTTATATTTTATTAGAAAACATGGCTTTAAGTGACCTGAATATTAGCATTTTTCATGATAATCTACATTTTTGTACGCTTTAAAAGGATAAGTTAACTGCAAGAAGTATTGACAGCAACTGGTAGACCTTGAGCTTCTATCATTAACACTATAAATACCATGATAAAACCAATTTTTGTGAACCAAGGAAACTAATAAGAAATCTCAGGGCAGTAGTTCTGCTGCTGTAGAGACAGAAAGGAGATGAGCTCAATGGCGAACATTAGGTCATGTCTTCTAGATGCATAACAATAATGTAATATTAGTTATATATGTAAAGATGATGTATGTTTAAGGATATCCCTACCTGACTAACTGAGGGGTTTATTCCAAAAAAAATTAAAACCTGTAATGAACATCTTATGTACCTAATTGAACATGCTAGGGACCATGGTATTGAAAATACTTTATGCTTGCGGAATATTGTTGTCCAGAGAAAAGGCAGTCTACATTAATAAGCCCTAATAACAGAGCACACACAGCAGAGCCCCATACCTAAAAGAAAATGGCAACCTGTCAATGCAAGAAAGATAAGTTATGACGTCAGCGACGCCCATACGCCCATAAAGGCCTTTAAGGACTTTGGGGTTAGGAGTAAAAAACCTCAGTAGGGTAGGGAAGGGAGTTTGGGTGTGTGGGGTGTTGTCTTCCTGTTGGTACTAGTGTGATGTCTCGGAAAGTATTATTCGTACATTGACCGCCAGATTTCTCCATTACTTAGCATAGGAGCCCGGGCAAGATTGATGTAATAGGATATTATTTACAGCGGTCTTGCCCAAGCGACTATATAAGACACATATACCATGCATTCATTATCATCTTCGAGACAATACACACAGGTTGTTGCTATGGCCATACACCTCGCCTTGCCTGCTCTCCACTTCATGGCACCTCTTTCGGATGGTTTGTTTTTCTCTCTTCCCACCCCATCCCAGCCCATAGTTTCTCGGGCCTGTATCCTTCATCCGGAAGAGGTCGCCAGATTTCTCCATCACTTAGCATAGGAGCGCGGGCAAGATTATGTAAATAGGATACTGTGCAGCTTGTCACGTTAATAGTCAAGGATCCTAGGAGCTTAAGAAAATGATTCATTTAAGAGATTGACTTAAAATAAAGGCCATACAGTCAGGTGACGCTATCGACTGGAATAATTTTAAGAGGGCATGTAACAACGTGAACAATGCAATTAAGAATGCTAAAAAGTCCTATTATTTGAAATCTTTTACATCTTGTAACGGCAACTCACGTAAGACCTGGGAGATCATTAATGAGGTGACGGGGCGCAAATCTGAAAAAGCGATTATAAATGAACTCGAATTTGAGGGCAAGAAATTAACTGATCCGACTGAAATTGCGGAAGGTTTTAATAAGTTCTTTGCCGAAATCGGTCCCAAGCTGTCCGAGAATATTGAAGACATTGATACTTGTTTCGATGAATTTGTAAATCAATCTATCTCGGGGTAGCTTTAGTTTTCAACAAATAAGTCCATCTCTGGTCTCGTCTTACTTACGTAAATTATGCATGAGGAAAGCCACTGGACTTGATACAGTTTCCGCCAGACTTCTGAGAGAATGCTTCGATCTAATTTCCGACTCTCTAGCACTCATTTTCAATCGATCGATTGAAACAAGTATTTTTCCCGATGAATGAAGAGCGCTAGGATCACTCCTCTCTACAAGAAATGTGGCAATTCTGCTAATCAATGGTTCTTTTCTTATTTGAGAGATAGTATGCAAACGTGTCTCGTTAATTGCAACAAGTCATCTGAAACGTACCTACCCTGTGGTGTCCCGCAGGGAACGATTTTGGGGCCTCTTTTGTTTTTACTATATATAAATGACCTTCCGAATTGCCTCATGCATTCACAACCTAGAATGTATGCTGACGACACTAGTATCACCTATGCGAGCAATGATGTCGAAGAAATAGAGCGTTGCGTTAACATAGATTTAGATAGAATTTGTATATGGCTTGCAGCGAACAAACTTACACTAAACACGACCAAGACAGAATTTTTTATTACTTGGGTCGAGGCAAAGACTGTCAACGCTAGAAAGGAATCCCATAATTGAAATTAACAAGTTTCAGATTAAACACATTTCGACTTCAAAATCCCTAGGTGTTCACATCACTTGAAATCTTTCTTGGGAGTGTCATATTAACGAAATCTCTAAGAAGATTGCTTCTAGCATAAGTGCGATTAAGCGTATTAGGTATTTTCTCCCTTTTGAGATTCTACGTAACGTATACAATTCACTGGTACAGCCACACTTTGATTACTGTAATGTAGTATGGGGAAACTGTTCTAAGAACCTATCTTCTAAATTACAGAAATTGCAGAATCGCGCCGCTCGCGTTCTGACCTTCTCTAATTATGACTGCAGTACTAGTGAATTATTCCAAAATTTAAAAAAAGTTAGTAAAGCAATAATGATGCATAGCATTGTAAATAACACAGCTCCAGAGTATCTGACTTCGCGTTTTGTTCGTCGCTGCGATTTAACTAGTTATAACCTTAGAGGGAATGAATACAAGCTCGCTGTTCCACAGCCACGTACTGAATTTTATAAAAGAAGTCTTTCTTACAGCAGAAGTGTGTTATGGAACAGCTTGCCTCTAGAGGTGCGGCAATTGACATCCCCGGGTATATTTAAGGGAAAATTAAGAGACATAAATTTCAATTGACAAATAATTTACTCAGCTATATTCTGTTTTTCCACACGGCCTCCTTGAAAAGCAGGTGTTTTCTTTTCATCTTTATTATTTTAGTTTTTATCTCAGATTTTAGATTAGTTTCTATACTTGAATGTAAATGTATACCTGAAGGAAATGCCGTGTAAAGTTACCTTACCTTGTAAAGTTACCTTACGTGAAACGACCTTTGAAGATCAACGCGTGCCCGCTGCCCGATTTAACAATATTTTCTTAAAGCTTTTTGATAGACATGCTACATAATTATTGCTACATACAAGTCGACCTCAAGAGTTTCTTCGCCAGTGGAGCGTTCTTTTTAGGCCGCGAAGCGACCGAGCGAGCTACGACTTCGTAAATAATAAATTCTAGACATTCTAGCTTTTGACTGTAAAAGCTCACCTTCTTTGCCGACGCAGTATCTTTAGTCTGCTTGTGCAATCCAACCCGACTTGCACATGATTCGAAAATGCAGCCAATAAAAATCACACATTTTTTTCGGGACGGGCTCGGGATACGGGAAAGTTAAAAAAAAGGCAGTTTTTGACTCCCAAGAATACGACAGGAATGCGCTCCCGAATTTAAGACGCTGGCTGACTAAGTCATGCCGCGTAAATATTAAGATGGTTTATATGCCTTATTTTAAAACAAAAATTTATTTAACAAAGGTTTCTCTTCTGACAACACTGATTGAAAACCAGTGTTTAATATGAAAAATCTCTATAACTTAGGCATACATACCTGAGCGAGAAGTGGGAAAGTTTCCACTTTTACTTTGTTGCTGCGATCTTGAGAAAACAATTTTACACATACGTCCTAATGAAACAAATAAAGCGTCCTGTTACAAATGGTAACTTTGTATAAAATGCATTATTACTTAAGAAAGATAGCCTTTATTTAAAAACGATGAATGTTAAAACCACACTGTAAGCAGATGGGGTCAATAAGAAACTAAAAGTTAATGGTATTTTTAATACAAAAAAGTTAATGATAAGTTATTAATACACATATTAATAATACAATCATGTAATTTCAGTTTCTTTAGGACAACAATCATAAGAAGTACTTACAAAAGCCAGAGTTATTTCAGACTTTTGCAGCCTTTGCTGCAAGTTTTAATATTATGAAGCTTTGTTATGTCATTTTCGTGAATTGGTCATTTATACAGCGTTCATATAATTATTCTGCCACAAAACAATTAGTCCGTAATTTGCTTGGCAATACACAATAAACTACGCTGAAAATTTGTCAATACACAAAATTAGGTAGATACTCTCTTCTGAAAAAAATTTTCCAGGCCAATTATTACCAGTACCCAATGACCTTTATTAGCAATGAGTGTAAAAAATAAAATAATTACTGGTGGAGTTAACCCTCCAGTAAAATAATGTTAATTTGACTGAGGATGGTATCATCTGCTGAGACCAAAGAATGTGATCCTCAGAGATCTTCATAATTCCTAATATCATACAAGAGCTGAACCTATCAATTTTTACTCAATATTTATTGGAAATACTTACATTTTCACAACATGCTAACCTCGATCTATATAACTTTCCTGTCTTCAAAGTATTTGCTGGTTATTGGGTGGTTTAGACATTCAAAGAGATGTTTAAATGCCAATTATCATCCATCAAGCCATATTTTTGTTTTCTTGCTATGTTTTTTAAACACTAGTTCCGCTACTTCTTCTTTAAAAACATAAGAAATCTTCCGCCACTTTCTTGCCAGCTCAAAAGGACTGAGCTACCATGCCTAGTCCTCTCTCTTTTTCTGCTGATTATTGGTCTAGTTGGTATTAATATTGTACTGATATCAGTAAATGTCAAATTTGATCAATGGTAGCCAGTTATGAAAAATTAGCCACGGGATTTATGCCAATAAACAGAGAAATACTTTGAATAAAGGTTATAACAAATTTATTCAAAAGATAGCAAAAACGTTGGACCTACCTTAATGTTAAGTGCATAAGGATTTACTTTCTTTTCAAGCTTATTCACAAAGGTTTTCAAAAACTTCAAAAGTTCCACTTTGGCATCTATAAACTATATTGAAAATAAAGATAGAACATCAATTCTGGACAACTCATGCATGCCCAACTTTTCACATAAGTGCACCACTTAAGAACTTTCAAACACTATGTCTTGTAAATTACAACACATCATTTAAACATTCATCAATCATTTCATTCATAGTATTTGCAGCAGATCAAGGCTCAAGATAGCAGCCTACCAATGGCCAAATGACAGGCCAAATTTTAACAATGGACCACCAAATGGATTAACTGGACTGGTTTTGTGACATTTTCATCTCCTGTAACCATACTTGTTTACCCACCATTTCTTTTCACAAATCATTTGTCCCTGGTAGAAAATATCTCAGGAGGGTCCCTCACCTGTAGCTCCTCTAAAAAGTGTGGGGTGTAATGGTTTGCATACTTAGAGTTGAGCCTACTGAGTCGTGAATTTTGATCGGCGGTGTCAAAAGTGGCCGATAAAGGAGATATGGGATTGAGCACACTAGCAAAAATTTGCAAGCTAGGTCACGCCAAGGAACTGACAAAATATGTTCGCTATGTCCATTAATCCTTAGGTTTAGTAGCTCTTTAACTTTCATCATGTTTTAAATCTTCGTAAATAATTTGTTGTGGTAAATTTTTGTGTTTTTTCTTTGTTACTCTCTTACGCGTCACGAGAACCCTCAGTTCCCTATGGTGACCCCCCTCCCTACTGGAAAATTAGGCAAATTGACCGCCCCCCCCCTTCCCACCTGGAAAATCCGATCCCTTCCGTGGGGGTGGTATGGATATTTTCTGGAACCACACATGATGATTTATTTTCATCGTTGAGAATGAGTGCTTTAAAGTGCTATAAGCTCTAAGCAATGACTTTTTTGGTTATATATAACTCCAGTTTTAGTTCATGGGCCCCTGTTTTAACAGTTACTTATCTTATAAATTTGACCAGCTAGAAACAATACAAGGTACATGACTGAGCTAAAATGAATTTGGCTGGTCATCGCGTCCGGAGACTCTCTGGAAATTATTTCAAGCCTTGAGAAAGCTATCTTTTTTAACAGCAAAAGTTATTACCTCATCAAGAGCAACTGTTTTTCTTAAGAAACTAATAACTCCTGTTTCTTCATGGAATAACAGTGAGGAGGAGTAAGCTGAAATAAAACAACAAATTGCATTAATATAGGACAGTCCAGAGCTGTCATTAAGGGCTGTAACCCATAACACCAGTTCAGCTGAGCTCACTTGATGTTATGGGTGATCAGAGTGGAAAGCTAAATAAACACTATAAATTTTATGTGAGATGCTACGGGTGATTCTTGATTTGCTATGGCGGCTGCTTTAAAACTTAATGACAACCCTGCAATCATTTGCTTCAGCGATGTACAGGTATATTTTGATAGATAGATAGACAAAAACGAAAATGCATCCAAACAGAATGAAAATGCATCCAGCAAAGACAAAGTACAGTATAATCTCAACCAGACAAAAAATTGTAAATTCAGCAAAACAATCTCTTGACCTTTCAATTGACAGCATGCAACTCACTAAGGTTGAGTCAGAACGTATCTTAGGAGTATATTTTGATAGTCATATCACCTGGAATGAACACATTGACACACTGTACCCAAAACTACTTCAAGGAATTGCAATTTTAGCAAGAGCTCGGAAATACATACCAGTCAAATATCGATTGCTTCTCTACAATGTAAGTATCAAACCACTCTTTACTTATTGCTGTACTGTTTGGAGCAACCGTAGCCAAACCAACTTAGACGAATTGTTTAAACTTCAAAAACGCTGTGCTCGATTAATTTTGGATAGTCCCGGGATGCACGATCGTATGATAATTTTCAAAAGCGTAAGTGGCTACCAGTTGATCAACTATTCAAGCTAAATAAACTCAGCCTTTTAAAGAAAGTTATTGATAATAGCGCACCGGAATACTTAATTACAACCTTGGACTCACTCCGTTTGAACACAAGTACTCTACCAGAACAAAAACATTATACCGCTTACCAAAACCCAGAACTGAAGCAGAACTGAAGGGCTCATTCATGTGACAATGTACACCCAAAAAATGGCAAACATCTTCTATCACATTCAAGAGCCATAATGGCTCTTGATCACGGTAGATTAGGCCTCGAAAACAAATTCTTGGAAAACAAATCAGGCCGCATTTTTTTTTCAAATCCTTGCCAACAAATCTTTTATTCCACTATCGTGGGCTTTTAGCGAAACCGTTCAAAAATTTAAAGAAGTGTTTGAATAAATGCGAATTTATTATCATTACTTTTTGTTATTTAATGGTTCCAGCTATAACGATGTGTAATCTTATAAAGCGTTTGATCGTGGGACATTTCTATGTTAAGCGATGTTCTTAGAACCAACCAAACTCCTTTAGCTTAGTGAAGACAACACATCCAGTGGAAAAAGACAGTTAAAAACATCACAAGTTGACTAATAACTGAATTTTTTCCGAGGTCAGTTTGAAATCAAAATCTTGACAGTGCGGGGCCATAGTGACATAAACACAACATATTTCATATGAATCATTGGCGATCATTTGAAACAAACTAGAAAGTGTGAGAAAACATACAAATTACCAAATTTTCTCGGATGGTTGGACAATTTTGACTAAAAGTTACGGTGGACAAAAAAGTTATTCTGATTTATATAAATCCGTGCTTTTTCTTTAATACCATTGTAGACTGGTTCCTTTTTTTACCAATGTATTTACTTCCGTTTTTAACATGTCTCAATTTTTTAGATCTTAAGAATTTTTAAGAACCTTTTATTATAATCACTATTTGTAAATAGGCTTTTTTATCGTGATTAACCCATTCGCCCCTGAACCGCCCGTAACCGCCCGTGCGTATCCAGGTCCTTTCTACCCTTTGTGACGTCATCAGTTTTAACGGTCAAGGGCAACTTTCTTCGCTAACTTGTGCAGAGTGAAGAGATCTTTCAAACCATACCAGAATGAGCACAATTTAGTCAAGGACACCGGAGAAACAAGCAAAAAACCATGTGACAAGGACCTGAAAATCTCCATGAAAATCTTGTTCCATTATCCACCTACCTTTCCTTTCACCTAATCCTAAGATCCTAAAAGCTTTCCTAAAAACTCTTCCCACCAAAATGAAGCCTACTAAATGCCCAGCAAGAGAAAAAAAAAATGAGGCAAGAAAAGCGAAAAAAGAAGGCAGGAGAGAAAGCGAAAAGTAAAAGTCAAGACTGCTGTGTCACTTTTAAACCCAAAAACTATGTCGAAATTTTGCTTTCTGCGCATGCCCGAACTTCGCAAGCTGATATTTTGCATCTGGATCAGAAGGCCGCCAAGTGTACGACCTGTAAACCGGTTTGTGGTAAGTTTTAGCTCTTTATAGCACGACAGTGACCAGAAAACCACTCGACTAGCTTCAAAACGCGTTTTTCAGCAAAATCTCCAGGAGCGAATGGGTTAATATAATTTTATTCTTATCAATTTTGTTTTTAGAGGGCCACTAGAGAGGGAGAATACTGGAATTCTTAAGATCTTTTATTATAATTACTATTTGTAAATAGGCTTTTTATCATGATTGTTGTAATTTATTATCATCAATTTTGTTTTTAGAGGGCCACTAAGG